GGTTGTTCTCAAAGTCTTCGCGTTGGTCATTTCGGTACTCTTTGGATCAGTGGTTGCTGTCTGTTTTTGGGTCGTGTTTTTTCCTTGCAATGTTGGGTCCGATAAAACGATCGTTGGATGGGCCGGCCCTGGTGGTCTATGAATTCGATCCTTAGGCCCACTTTGATATCTCGGGCCCGCAACGGGTGCCTTGCCTTTTCTCCTGCGATTAACTTCGCGCCACTCTCGATCCTCCGAAGATCCCGTATTACGTTTAGGTAAGTCGGTTACCCCCCTAACATCGCCTCTGAATGGGTTCCGAATTCAAAATTATGGTAGCTATCTTGATTGGAATCTTTTTCCAAAATATTAAATCTGGACCCGAAATTTGGGGGCATCTGCGAATTTTTGGCGATTTAATTGCCTCCCTTCTCGCGCCTTGGGTGTTGCTGACGGGCTCGTTGTGGGACCTGAATCCACGGGCCGTACGGCGAAGGATTACCGTTACCGGCCATTGCTGCTTGGGGTCCTGGGCGGTCGCCATTGTCAGAGCCGGTCTTCTGGCGGTCGACGTTTGGGGTCTCGGATGTGGCCGTGGGTTCATTAGATTGTGGTTTGTGGAGGCAAGAGGAGCTTGAGTGACCTAGGCGCCCACATTGGAAACAAATTATAGGCATATTCTCGTAGACTACCCGTTGTTGTTTTTCGTTAATGGAAAAGGTAACACAAAGTGGCTTAGTGATGTCCACGACCATCGCAAGTCTCGCGAATTTCCCTCGAGTCCGGGCCGCGGTTTGCTGGTCGATCTTGACCATCTTACCCACTATACGGCCAATAGTTCGAAACACTGTCTTATGGTAGAGATGAGCGGGTAATCCGGGCAGGCGAATCCAAGCAACTGTAGACATCACCTCAGTTTGTGTGGCATGAAAGTCTGTGGTCCACGGCTGAACGTGCATATAGCCATTTCCTATGACGTACGGTCCTCTCGTGATCACCTTCACCGCGTCCTTTTGGAGATTAAAGTGGATGAGGTAGAAACCGTTTTCAAGGTCCATCATGTTGCATCCTGCCATGAACGACCATAACTTGGTCAATCGATTGTAGAGGGATGCCATTGAAATGGTGTCATCGAAAGGTTTGATCACTACCGCGTTCTTCCATTCCTGACTGAGTCGATCAATGAATCTTTGGGTGATTTTAACATCCGGGACAGGTGGGGAGAAATCCACTGATACCTCCTTCTCTCCGTCGTCATTCCCCTCCTCGGCTTCCTCGGCTTCTAGATCCATCTACACATGGTTTCTCTGCCTGTTCAGCATATCGCGAAATGTCCATTTCAACGGCGGAGAAGCTGGATGTTCCACTTGCTGGGTACTGTGAAAATCGAGGGATTCGTTCATTCTCTTCCGGGTACGCAGGCGTTTAGATGCTTGGTAGTTGGTCGCAGATAGTGACGGAAATTCCATCTCAGTACCGGTCGCCAGCGGGACGACCCCAGGGTCGAAAGTGGCCGTGACCGGATTTAGGGCGGCAATAGGGTTTTCCTCAGCGTTCATTTTTTTTTCAACTCTAGTCTCTTGTACATATTTTTTTCTAAATTCCCCAATGTTATTTGTGACTCTTGACCCCATTTTTAAGAGGGGAAGTTCCATGAGAAGGCTCATCTTTTTAATATCGTGCCAATTTAAGGCTTGAATTTTATTCCTTTTCAATAGAAGACCTATATTTTAGGTTATTCTCAATTTAAGACTCACTTTTTAGTTAACTTTCCAGTGAAATGCTCAATTAACTTTATATTTTGATATAAATATGTGAACCAATTAACTTTATTTAATAAAGTAATGTGAACAAAAATAATTTCTATTTAGTTTATAGTTTACATTCTTATAATAAATATCTTTAGTAATATTTACTTAATAATAAAGAGAAACTATATAAATTATATTTATGCAAAAGTTTAATCGTGAATAATTTAAAAAGATGATAAGTGAATTCAAAACATATTTAATGAAACTATTATTTTTATTAATAATATTAATATGTAATAAAACTAAAAAATCATATAAAAATGCAATCTACAAAAATATATCATTTTCAACAAGCAATGACATAATATCAACTTTTGCTTCCAAAAAGAAAAGTTAAAATCCTGAAAAACTAAAATGAAAGCAATATTATTCAAATATTATTTTTTAATTTTATTAGATATTAGATTATTAATAAAAATAGTACTTCAATTGCATATGATTTAAATTGTCAATTTTAAACAATAATTAATATTAAAATTTTGTATCATTGTAATTTATATAGTTCCATTTTTTATTAAAATAATTTTACTCAAGATATTTATTATTTTTTATTATAAGTATGTAAAATATCAATTACAAAGTAATAATAATAATAATAATAATAATAATAATAATAATAATAATAATAATAATAATAATAATAATACATTTATTCACACAATAGTTGTTTTACATATTTTTATGAAAAAGTAAAGTTGGTTGGGTCTTATTATGGAAAGTTAACTAAAAAATAAGCCTTAAAGTGAGAAGAACATAAAATGTAAGCCTTGGTTGACAAAGTATAAAATTCAGGCCTTACATTAATACAGTTACTAATAAAAGATAGGTCTTCCAATAAAATTTCCCCTTTTTAAGATGCACAAAGCATCCATTTATACAGTTGTCTTCCGAAGAGACAAACTTAATGGAGATTTAACTCCATAACACTCCATAATGTAGGTACTTAATGGGATTATTAACAATGTCATTAAGGGGTATTTAATTAATTAAATTGATAGAATTAATTACAAACAACACTCCCACTCAGCCACTTAGGTCGGGACTACAACGAAAAACTTTATTAGCAAATTTCTTGCCTCATACGGATAATAGAGCGTGCGACCAAAAGCAACAATAACAAATTTATATTAAGTCACCATCTAACTAACATAACATTTTCATACTCACGACAACCTCTAACTGTTCAAAAATCACCTATCGCATAAACTGTCCCTATATGCTATACACACAATATGGTTATATTCAAATATAACCTCCCGGGTAATGTGGTGAATTTGAATCAATTATTTTTTTAGACACTAATGAAACTTCATCTCAACTTAGTTGCTTTCCTAACATGCTCCGTCGAACTGTATCGATCATATCTCTTGGAGGACATATTAAAGTAGCAACATTAAGTCTCAATTTCATAACATGGTTCTACGTCAAAAGACTTCGTACAAAGTTGGAAAACAAAATTCATAGGATTCACACCTATGGATTTCTCTTTAGCGAAAAGCATAACATTTCTATGTGGCATTGCAAATGAAAAACATTGTTTCTATATGTCAAGTTTATTTTTCAAGTTATCTGATATTTTTTTTTTTTTCAAAGGGTGCAACGGAGGACTTTCCAAGGTGTCACCCATCCTAGTACTACTCTCGCCCGCATGCTTAACTTTGGAGTTTGTTTAGTATAGAATTGATGGGCAAGGGATAACCGAGTTACCCGACTCGGGTCGATCTCGAAGAAAGGCTATTCGGAGCTTTATCTACTAAATGATCGTCCAAATCACAAAAAGGGAAAATAAAATCCTAAACATTCTAAGCAATTGATTGGATGGTTGATTAACACTAATCGAGCACTTAAAAACTAGTAATTAATTAAAAGCAAGATCAAATGACGAGCAATTAGCAAACTAGATCACCGAGTCTCATGCCATAACCATAACGTGATGATAATCAATCGACATACTGAATAAATGAGCTACGAGCATTAGATTGCTAACCCTAATCGTCTAACCGAGATCTACAAGCAATTAACGACTCTATCTACTCAAGCAAGCAATCAAATACAAGCATTTCCTTCATCATCAATCAAATCCAAATTTACCCTGATGAACATTATTAGTAAAAACGGAGCAAAAACCGAAGTAAAGAGCTTTAAAACTAAATACTCATTCTTCCATTGCGTAGACGATGAAAAACATAGTCAAAAGCTCGAAACTTTAAAGAAACCGAAGTCGCCGGAAAATCTCCCGAAAAATAGCATAAGGTCCTAATCTAGAGAGCAAAAATAAAACATAAACTAATTTCCCAAAGAGAAAAAGTGAAAAATGAAAGTTGGATCCTCAAAATACAAAGCATAAAATGCATTTATACTACTAGGCAAAACACACACCAAAACACACACATTAAATGAAAATACTCGCAGGGTAAGGCGAACTCGCAAGCTAGAAGGTGATTTTCGCGGACATGCAATGAGAAACTCGCGGCTTGGGAGGTGTTTCACGAGCAAGGGCGAAAACTCGCGACGTAGAGCTTGTTCGCTGGCTCGAAAGACAAACTCGCGGGTAGAGGAGGACGAATTCGCGGGCAAGAGAGCATCACAGCTGGGAACTCGCGGGTTAGAGGCAACTCGCGGGATAGGGCTTCATTTTCGCGGGCTCGAAATTTCTCCTCTGGACATGCTCTAGCCGAACTCGCGGGTTAGAGGCTTTTCACGGGCGCGAAATCGTTTTCGCGGGCTGGAAATGGTCCCATGACCTCTTGTGCTCGATTTGCTCTAACTTCTCGCATACAGCTCCAATTCGCACGAAACTTTGACCCATATTCTCCTAATTGAATTCTCTTCGTCTCGGTATGGCTTGGGCGGATTTCCGGTTGGATGGCACGGTCGTCTCGGACGGCTCGTCTCCTCGTTCTCGCCAAGTTGGACCTATTCAACACCAAAACAAAAGAGAAACGCATAAAAATACGAAAATACTATACAATAACAAAAATACACAAAACACGATAAAATGGACCGGTCGACACTAAAACGAGCCTAAAACTATAAAATAAAGCACACAAAACACACAAAAATAATGACAGAAACACAATAAACAGAGTTCTGATGGGATCTGGTGGATCAGTGCTGGCATGATCGCACCCCAAGTTATCGACATTATCTGTTAGTTTTTTCTTTAACAAATCATTTTAATTGATAGTAAATACTACCGTTGAACTATGATCAAATCCACATTGTATTGCTTTTTGTCTCGGTGGTGGCTTGGCGACCGGCATCTTCGCCGTGTAGCGGTGGATGGGGTGCGGTTTGCCGTAGTCTTGGTTCCCATTGCCTGCTTCTCCGTGGTGCGAGGAGAGTGGGTTCTCCGGCGGGGGCGGTGGTGACCAGCTCGCCGGATTGGAGAGTGGGGTTCTCCGGCGAGGCGGTAGTGGCGAGCTCGCCGGATTGTGTGGGGGCCGAGAGTAGCGTGGACTCTTGGTGTTGGCCTGACAATGGTGTCTCTATGGAGAGAAGAGGTATTGACGGTCCGATACGAGTCTTATGACATTTGGGTCCTTCTCGTTGCCGTGTTTGCCGGTTACTTTGCCCTCTCTCGTGGGGTATTCCTCCCGGGCTTTGGTTCGAGTGGTGAAGTTGTGGTTCTATTAGCCTATCGTGGAGCAGAGCTTTAGTATAGTCTAATATTAGGCGTGTTTTTATTTGTGGTGTTCTTGTTTTGTGTTTCTTCTGTGTGGTGTTTTTCTGTGTTGTAGTGTTGGGTTTCGATTCTCCCTTTTGTGAGTTTTGTTTTCCACTTGTGGGAGTTCTGTTTTCCACTTGTGAGCATGGACGAATCTAACTATGGCCTAGGCTGGGCTTCAGCCCAGGCCTGTTACTTTTTTTAATAGATATTATTTTTTAAAAAGAAAATTATATTTCTAGCCCAATTCAATAAACTGACTTACTAACCTACCAAAATAATTCACTTATCTATTAAGTCAAAATACTACTAACACCATTCTAATAAAATATTATATATTGTTGACCCTAAAAAACACCACTACACATCAAACTCCAATCAAATAAATTAGCCACTGTCATGCCCCTCCTCTGAACACCAAAACAATGAATTTAGGAGGCAAAAAAATAAAAAAAAAATAAAAAAAAAAAATCTATTCAACAAGAAAGAGCCACTTTCATGAAAATGGTTTAATTTCTTCAAGTTATATTTTTAAACATCCTATTACATATTTATTTTATTTGTCTAATTATCTTTGTCTATCTTCTCATTTTAGTTGAGCTATTGAGTTTTAATATAATAGTTATTGCTAGGATCTTAGTTGGAATTGTTGGTTTGTTGATTGTGTATAAAGTAGTAATTGTGTGTGTGTGTGTTTATTTTTTTAATCTCTTATCCTCTAGTGTGGTTGTTGTATATCATAGCTGGATACAAATTTACGACGTATAGGCATTTCATTTTGCTAATAACTATGTCATATGAAAAATCTATTCATTTGCATTGTGCAATTTTTAGAAATTCATTACATAGAGCACCAACCTCGACAAAGAAAGGAAAAACCCCGTTGGCCGTTGATATCATCTTTCTTTAGAAAACGAGATCGACGTCAAACTAGTGAAAGCACGTCAAATACGATGCAAAATGAGCATAATAGTTTTTTTAGAACTTGTCGTGCACAACTTAAGTGAATATTAAAGAAAAAGTATTATGTACTTTTTTTTTGAAAATTAGTTTTAAAAATTCTAGCACAGTCTACTCTTAATTTTTAGATTCGTCCCTGCTTGTGAGAGTTCTGTTCTCCCATGCGGAAAGTTTGTGTTTTTTGTTTCTTGTGGGTGAGCTGTAGTATCTAGGCTCTTTTTGTGAAGTCCGCTCACTTCGGCCATCTGGCCGCCGAATGCTTGCATATTTTTACCCGTCTTGTAAATCCTCCTATATAATTTTATAACCTCAACACTTTCTCAAATTACCGCAGATTATCGAGATTGCTACAGTCCATAATAACTATATTCAGTAAACAACCGATCCAAAAATAACAAAAACAAAACAGAAAACAATGTACTAAAATTGGTTACCAAACCAAATTGTAACTGGGAATGTACCAAAATCACGGTAACAAACTAAATATTGCTTCACAAGCATATCCTTATTCCTTGTAAAAAAGACACTAATAAGCAACAATTGAAGACCCGCAGCAGATATAGCTTTCTTATTCCGTAATAATGCAACACATATAGTTTTCACTGATTTGGCCAGTGAAATATATTTTTTTTTTATCCTTCAATTGACCAAAGGATCAATTTTCATCTGCCTATTAGCTTCTTCAAGTCCTGCCAGCAGCCATAAACCATACGTGAATTGAAGATTCAACAACTAAAAGTCCATCTCAAAAGTTGAAGTACCCAATTCATGGAAACGCTACGGTCTCGTTACGGAACCATTTCTTTAGAGTTTGCAACAGTTAGATCGTCATGTAACCGTCGGAGATAGCTGATCTAATAGTTACAAACTCCGATAGAATGATTCTGTAAGGAAACCATAGCATCTTCCCCCAATTAATAAGAACATAGGATTTTTTTTTTTTTTTTTTTTTTTTTTTTTTTTTTTTTTACAGAAATTAAAAATAAAATTAAAATTAAAAGAAAAAAAGAATACCTGGGCTGCACCTTATCTGGCACTTCCGCTCGCACCGAGCCATTAGTCTAGCTACACAATCAAAATAACATTCTTTTTTAAGTACAAAACAAGCCAAAACACAACAAGTAAGTAGAGAAAACTGTGGAATCAATCAAACATGTAAGTGAAAAAAGAAAAGAAAGGCAAATGTACTGTTAGAGTTAACACAGGCAGTGGAACAGCCGTCGAGACAGTCGCCGGGACCCAACGTAACGCCGGCAGAGTTGCCTGAAATTATCAACAGAATCATGCTCAAAGCTATAATTACCATCTTCTTCTCCATTGTTTCTTCAGTTTTACTTTATTTTATTTTCTCTTTAAGCACTTTGGTAATAATTAAATAGTGCCGACTATCCAACTCCCAAAATGAGCTCACCAATTTTGAACATGGTTGGGTCCACTTAGGAAAGGATAAATAAATAATGGGGAGCGGAAAATACATACTTGTGGTCCATTTTTGCACAACGAGACGGTATACAAACTTTTGCCATTGTTTGGTGGCCCATTGTACTAACCTCACTACACTATTTCATCGTGTTTATTTCCTTTTTTTATCAAAAAAAAAAAAAAA